CTTCCTTCCTTCCTTCCTTCCTTCCTTCCTTCCTTCCTTCCGTTTATATGATACAATATCCTTAATTTCATATGCTAGCAAAATATGGGAAAAAAGATGCCAGATGTTCAAGCTGGTTTTAGAAAAGACCAAAGAACATGAGACATTATTGTTGATGCATGCTGGATAATTGAGAAAGTCAAGGAATGCTGAAAAGAACTCACTATGTGCTTCATTGATTATAGAAAGGCATCCATTGTGTCAATCATGTCAAGCTGTAGAATGTGCTCAGAAAATGGGAATTGCAGAGCATCTTATTGTCCTCATGAGAAACTTATATATAGGTCAGGGAGCCACAGCATGAACAGGACATAGCGAAACAGGCAGGCTCCAGGTTGGCAAAGAAGTGTAACGAGGCTGTATATCCTCCCCTTATTTATTCAGCCTATATGCTGAATTAAGGGAAGCTGGATTGGAAGAAGATAAGCATGGTTTTAAAACTGGAGGAAGAAACAGGAATAACCTATGCTATGCTGCTGATGCTACCCTAATAGCCGAAAATGCAAAGGATCCTTGTCACAAAAGTCAAGCCGTACCATGAAAAAAATGGGACTAAAATTAAATATAAAGAAGACCAAACTAATGACAACATGTACAGTGGTGATGGGTGCACTGGTGGAAGACCTGAAAGACCAGGTCAGGGACAGGTCATCATGGAGAAAATCTATCTATATGGTTGCTAAGTGTCGACAATGACTTGTTGGCACATAATCAATCATAGCAACTCTGGATGGCTAACTTCATTAAAAATTAAAACATAGACAACATAAAACATGAATACAGATTAGAGCAACCAAGGTAAAACCAATTATCACAAATCAACAACTTTATAGACTTCAACAAACAATCTGAATCCCATGCCCAGGATCACATCCAGATGTTCAAACCTTTGTGAAAACCCAACAGGACTGGGGCCACTCTAATCTCCAGGGGAATGGTGTTCCAAAGGACAGCCACTACAACAGAAAAGGCACACATTCTAAGTTTGGAAAGATGACAATTCTTAACTGATGGTACCCTCAGCATGCTTCTCCTGACAGACTGAATGGGACAGGTAGAGATGATTGGAGAGAGGCAGTCCCACAAATAACCTGGCCACATGCCAAGGTGATGCTGGTTTACTACAAATATACAGCTCTCTATAAAGAGATAGGATTAGGATTCAAATTATACATATCAAAAGTACATGACACAGAGACAGTATCTCTCCCTCATGAAGATGTGGATTATAAGCTTAGCAAGCACCCCAGAATTTTGTGAACAGACATTTTGTGCAGAATCACAGATATTGCTTTCTAAAGGTGTAGCATGATGTCCTTATATTTGTATGGATAAACCAGAAATGATATATTGTAATTATTTTATTCTCTTCATTCAGAAAATCAAATTCGACACTGACTGGAAAATCATAACAATATTCATTGGACTCCAAGATCTGTGCAACTATTGCAAAGATATTGTGAGTTTTTGGAACATTTATAAGCCAATAATTTGGTTTGTGGGGAATTATTAACATTACAACTTTGTATTGGAAAACACAAAGTTCCATAGCTGAACAGTCTACTGACAACTATATGACTCAGTTGGAAGTTGTGACAGTATTTGTATATTAGTACCAGAGAAAAGATTAGTTATGTAATCTGAAGTAAGGACAAAGGGGTAAGAACAAAACTTCAGTTGTAAACTGAAAGGAGAGCACTCTTTTTCCCTACCTACTATATTCTGGCCATGGTTTGATTGTAATTTTCAATAAACTCATGGAATTAACTGAAAAACATTCTCTTCGCTTTATGTAACTCTCCTGGGCTACTTTGATGCTTCAGAAGTGGCAGAGTCACACAGGAAAAAATGAGGACGCTGCCCTTAGACTTAGTATGCTATCTCAAATTAGTTCCAGAAGTACTAGAACAGGAAAATTAGTCTCATAGATTTTTTTTTTTTTTTTTTGGAAGTTGCAAGATATAGCTCCTGGTATCAAGCCAATTTGTGAGACACTGGTATTCATTTATCATTATGAAAAGAGTGAGTGACATTTTCTTCTTTAAGCTTTAGAAAGTTTCAGCAATGACTTTGTAGTATCTCTTTCCTTGTTATATAATAAACATATATTTCCTTATAAATATACAAACTGAGCATTTTTTTAAAAAAAGGTAGACAGCTAATCCCTAAAAGTATGCTGGCTGAATTCAGTTAAAAAAAGAAATGCTGCTCACTCTTTGACTAATTTTTTTCCCATAGTTAAGAACTGCCAAGTTGTTATATCTGTGCTGTTCCATGAACTGAAGTCCAAAAACATTCCAAAAACTAGTGACAGTTCTAACCATTGAGGACAGAGCAGAAATTAGCTCAGGTGACTTTACTCCTTCCATTCCCTGCCCTTTTCGGGTCAAACCCTGAAGATCTAAAATAATAATTTAACCATGCTAAACTGAATGCAGTTACATCCCCCCACCCCCCAATTTGAAAACCCAAACAATCAGGGGTCCCTCTCATGGAAAATATTCTGTTGAAAATGGTTATAACTTTTCTTTCAAAAACTTTGGATGGGTGACGTTAGCATTTAAATGCTTGAGGGGACTTAACAATACGCTTATTTATGATTATTGAGGTATCCAGATGACTAAGACCATGCATTGCCTTTCTACTGCAGCTTTTAATTAGGTCATATTAGTTCATTATTGCCTGTATCATTGTCTGATTTAGTTACAGCACTGTACATAAATCCCATGTTATGTTTTCAACAGAGGGCCAGCTTGCAAGAACAATTACATACCATTTTAATTCATATAATCTACAACAATTCACTTGACTTTTCCATTTCTATAATCAGTAATAATCTGCTTCCATGTCTCCTCTCAAATAGAACCATTATTCAGCAGTAAACTTCTCAAATCATGTTCAAGAAGCGCTTGACTTGCTTCACACAGAGGTAGGTGGTTGTTGCTCAGAGAACATCTGTTCATTTTGTCTTGCACAATTGTCTTTTTTTTTGCTGATTCTCATTCAGTAGCCATGTGTCATACAGCTTCAGTTGAGGTCACATCTCACTCCATCTGCAAGGAGATTGTATTTTCTCAACACTCTAGTGGCATTATTTTGTTGCTGTGGAAATGTAATTCTTCTTCCCTGTATTGTCAACTGCAAAATGTGTACTATGATACTAGAATACAGTTATGCATATATCACAAGATCTTTTCAGACCTAGTATACATTACTCCCTACCTCAATCAAATCCCAGTGTTTCAGTTTTACAGTCTCCTTTACACTGGGTTTTTATCTTCCTATAGTATTTTTGTGGAGTATCCTGCAAATTGGAGAAGTTTAGGATCCACTTGGAAATGTGGTTTGCAGTTGCAATAATGAAAGGATATCTTGCATACAAGCAAAAGATGCAAAGCCAAGAAATCATATGTTTAAAGGAATGTAGTTAAATAGGGAGATAGAATTTTCTCAATAATTACTGTCATTAGCTATAATCAGTAGTAGGTGAACTTAGCACATTCCCATTGACATGAATAATTACTTTCTGGTCCTAATCTTTCCTGACTAGATCCCTCCAGATAAGTTGGGCTGTAACTCCATTATCTGTGATATTGTAAAAAAAAAAAACTTGTCAGTGCAGAGATAGGAAAGTGAAGGGAATGCAGAGGGAATCTGGTGAAACCTAATAGGAGGTGAATTAACTTTGACAGCAGCTTTGACAGTACTATAGAACAGATACAAGCCCTGTGTTATATATAATGTAATTTAGATAATTGGGTTCTTTTTTCTTTCCAGGTGCCTAAAGCTTTGGTTAACCTGGTGGAGGTGATGGATCTTCTCCCTCTAAGACAACTGTTTCTAGATAGCAGTTTACCATGTGATGTGCACCTAGCAAAGTAAGGCAGTTCTGGTGCCCTCTTGTATCCAAGCTATTCATATAAAGACCACTTACTATACAATGACTAGTTCTTTGGAAGTTTTGTAAGAAATCTGTCTGAGGTTTAGTGATAAAGAGAGGACTGTAACCTGTTAAGGCTGGCACACAGACTTTACAACTAATATAATACAGAAAAATGTCCCACAATAAACTACATTAAAATTCAATGACGTCTCATTTTGCTGATGCATTTTCTCTGCTAATTCATGATTCAGCATATTTTTTTTAAAGATAATCCTGAAATGTTACAGTACATGGTCTTCCCTATGATGAAACTAGACATTTTGGATCCAGTACAATCCTCTCTGGTCACTTCTCTAACTCAGATTTCTCTTGCATAAGTGAGACCTGCATACTAAGTGTTGCTATTTTGCATTTCACTACTTTACATTCTCCCTCTTCCTCATTTTTCCTCCAGCTTTACTCTTCCTTAGCATTCAGTGGCCACTGAATACATCTGGTTCTCATTAAATTGATTTGGGGTCCTCTCCCTGTTAGAATGTTATTCTGAAACCTTGAAGTCCACAGAGCTTAAAATTGCTGCAGTTAAGAAACACTGTTCTAAAGAATTGGGGGGTGGGGGGTTTTTGTGATTGCCAAAGGTTTTGTTGTGCTTTTCTTTTTTGCT